TGAATCCGGAAAACAACTCTCACACAGGTTTCATATCAGTTCAACATTACAATTTCATTCAATCTGAATCATTTCAGCTGTTCTCGAAAATACAATAGTGTTTTATGTGTAATATCTCGAAGACTCTCAACTTGACATGTTTACGGATTTCGGCCATTCCTTATGTTACATATTTACTGATGGAAACATGAAATTGGGGGTTAATTCTTAAAATGTCTACTCTTTCATACGCTTGTACTTATATAAAAAATATATAATTTTCATTAACCTGATATCAGTAATGTACTCACCGCTTTCTCGTATGGATTACCAAGTCCTGATGCTAGGGTAATGTAAAAAACTATTTTGTCGAGCAATCCAGAAATGTTGTACCTATCATTAAAACTGGGTTCCAAAACGGACACTTTCAGTGCATTCAGCATATTTTCGCGATACTTTCTATGTTCACTGGTGGTTTGTTCCATCACTTCGAAGTGGGTTTCCATGTTGAACTGAATTTTCAATGCCACCATATTAGGTTGGTCCGGTTTTTTCAGGTTTGCGACAACAAACTGTATAAACTTCTGTAGATCGGATCTGATCTCCATAATTTTTTCTGAGATTCCCCAATTTGGATCTATTATCAACAAGTCAACCTAACAATCAAATCCAAATTTGACAAGGTTCGTGACCAGCGGACAAAAATTCGTAATTCTAAGTAAATGCGGGGTTCAAAACAAATTTTACGTCTTTCACAAGTCCGTTTTTCTGTTTTCATTTGTCTGAAAATAGCTAATCCACTCTTTCATATTTATATTACAAAAGATAACACTTTGTATTTTATGTTAGACTAATAGCAAGTACTTACGTAAAATGTAACAAATTTTATATCCACAATTATTTGATTTTCATCGCATTTTTTCATGATTTCTTTCACGATATTTTTCACGATTACTCCAACATCCGTTTTTTCAAAATCCATCTTTGCCTTGACATGAAATTATGATTTTGCAACAAATCTCCCCTACCCGCTTTCATGGGAATTATTTCACGAACATTAACCACTTTAATTTTTCTGTCCCAATAAACTTAGAAATCCCTTTATTTTCCCCGTTTGAAAATAATTCACACAGAGAAATTATTTATTTGACATTCCTAAAAGTCAAGTGATAACAATATAACATAAACGACTAGCTAGATTCAAAATCCACTAGTGGAAAGGTAATCGGACATTCGTCTATACAGGGAGTTGAAAATGAATGTGAATTTAAGTATCTACCAGAACGAAAAAAAATGTCTTCCGCAGATCACGAGTCGGAAGTCGAAACTTTTGAAGATATAACCACTGAAATGTTGAAACTTTTGAAATATCGACTATCTCAGAAACTGGTTTTTGGTAATGAAAATTCGTAAAATTATATCTTATTTTTACGATCGCATGCTACGAATTTCTACTCGACCAATTCAATGTAATAAAAAAATCGAGAAGTATTTGAGTTTTACTTTATACAATTGTTGAAGTACTATTTTCAGGTTAGGTTAGTTCGTTGTTACGTTTCGGTCACAAATAGCAGAACCGTATTTTTGACAATATGATGTATGCTAAAAAAAATATGATTTGGATTTAATTACAGTTTATTTTGAGATTTTCACCGTACAGACCCATCAAATACGATTTTGAGTATATGATGCATATCGTATGGAAAAATGGAACTGATGTGGCAAGTGCCGGTGTCATTTTACAATGTATTACAGGAGGTGAGTTCGCGAGAGAGTGAATTTTCAAACAGTTTCAACTTTCGAGTATATCTCCAAAAGTAGAGCGGAGCGCTAAGCACAGACTCCATATTCGTATCAGCGGACAAAAATACGTGAGGCTAATTAAAAATTCTTCAAAAACTAGCACCAGCTAATTCTTACTACATTAGGATATTTCATTTCTGGCCTCATTTCAGGTTATTATTAAATGACGTTGAAAATAGGGTTCCGCGCGGCTGTTACGGCATGCGCGCGCTGCCGCTAAGGAGAGTTTATCAAAAGAAATAATTTTTTTATAACAT